TAAACAATTAATATACAGTTTGGGCTATTTCCTGTCTGTAGCCCAAAATAAATGTTTTATTCGATGTTTGAAATTTTACGTCAAATGATCAAGTCAGATCGACCACTCCCTCTTACAGAGTTGATACAGAATATGGAAGTTTCTTAAAGCAGATTCTAAGACAAACGTCATTCTCAGACTAAATAATAGACGGATTTATGACATCATCTTGGAATTATTCAAAAACAAGTAACATACATAGCAAAGAATATCGCTAAAGTTGATGAATCACACAAATATTTACAGATTACAAAGTGATGATATAGAAATAAAAATTACAATAATGAAGCAAAGTTAAGAAAATAAATTGAAAGGTACAATACTTTGAGCATCTCTCTTTTGAAGACCATATTATAATAAGCGGTTAATGAAGCACAGCCGTTTAATGTTTGTGTGTATGTCTGTGTGTATGTGTGAGTGTAGTAAACATAACTTGTAACTTACTCCAAGGTTCATGAAAATGCAGTTTTTTAAAATCCGTCTCTTGTTATATATGGCAAGGTCCTTGGGGTGGGGCAATGTGGCGAGGGCCTCAGCCCATAAAGAACCTCGGTTTTAAGCAGTTATTATTTTTAGATATCTTACATACTCTCGTTGCGTACTTACTAAATTTTAAATCTGTATATAGTAAATTATAAAGACATCTTTTGGCATTCGATTAATTTCTTTATTTCAGTATAACCAGGGCATAGAAGCCTCTCTCAGCCTCTGATGGAGCCTGTGTAGAACATGTAAATATATTAACGCTCACACAAAAAGGCAACGGTTCGGTCTACATCCGTAAAATTTGATGGCTGACCACAACGAGCCCCCTTCCCCCTTCCCTGAAAATAATTCTGCGTGCGCACCTGGTAACTACCGCTTATTTCATCATACTGTATCAAATGCATGGAAAAGGCCCATAACTGCCATTTCATCAGCATCATTTAGTCAGTATGTGTTAAATGCACCATTCAAACCGTCCTACGCAAAATTATCCCAAGTTCAGGCGATGCTGTCTATTTATAATTTAGGGAATTACCGACCAGGTCGCTTTGGGCACGTATCATGTTGGTCACGTGAAGCTGAGCCTTCACCTGTTCGTGACCTTTACTTGCCAGTGCCATACACCGACTGTATATTCCTCAATGTAAAGATTGTGTCAGGTTAAAGAACATCAGATAAACATGTATTAATTATCTATTACAGTGAAATCAAACACGAGTCTAAATAATTGATGCTGCTTTCTCTGTCTTTATTTCACAAAGTGAGAGTGGAATATAATAGTTAAGCTTTCCGTCTTATCACGGGAGTTGATTGTAATTCAAAGTAATGTAGGTATCATTCCCGGCAATAATACGTTTTCATCTAAATTAAATATATTTGGAATGATAATGCTGTCATTTTCACTTGACGTCTACTTTACATAATGTTTACAATTAAGCAGTCGTTTGAATTGATAAAAAAGAAAACAAAACAAGATCCCGCCCTCCCACATGGAGTACGCATGATTGGTGCATGCCTTGTATGGCAAAAACAGGCATGAATCATCGTCGGCCTGCCAATTGCAACTAACAAACCAGCACGTTAACGTCGATAACTCTGGCAAAGAAAGGTAAGTAGATCATTTTATCCTATTCTCTTCAGCTATTTAAGTTCAAATTTGCAAATCGCGACCTTCCAATGAGGGCAGAGTTCCAACGTGTCGTTAAAAACCAACATTAAAGGCAGTAATCTCAAGAAAAAGATCTGATTTTTTTTTAAATTTAAATTTCTATCTAAACGGAGGTGAAATAATAAAGAATGACAGGTGTATTATGAATATGTTGTAGATTTTTTGCATTTTTAAAATAAAAACTTGTATATGTAGTATTTTTATGAAAGAAATGTTGAGAGAAGATCGCAATTTATATTTAGTTTCCTTTGTGTTACGTTTTACAATCTTTTCCAATCCGAATTAGCAGATTAATAGAAACATTGTACTGGAGAGCAATCAAATATAAAATCGGTAACACACTATAATGTTATTTATTTTATGAAGTTAAATGGACATTTTAAACGTCCATGTTTTATAAGTATTCTGCCGAGCAAAACCAAATGTAACTAATGTCGTTCTTGGAAGCATTTTTACCGATAATAATAATAATAATAATAATAATAATAATAATAATAATAATAATAATAATAATAATAATAATAATAATAACTGGTAAAGCCACCTTGGTTCACATAGGAGGTACTTAGAAAATGTGACCATTAAAGGAACGTGGTATTATTAATGTTAGAGGACAGGCTTGTGTTGGGTGGGGCCCACAGGACGTGGTCGGGTCATACATGCTTACACACACACATACACACACACTCAGATATATATATATATATATATATATATATATATATATATATATATATATATATATATATATATATATATATATATATATATATATGAAATAAAAAAATGTACATATTGCAATGTCAT